GGACGAATTGGGAATCAAGAAGCAGTGTAATATTTTAAGCAATATCTCAACAATGTGTAACTTTTTATCAAATCCAACGGTACGTATGGAAAGGTGAATAAATTTCGAAGTCATCTTTGACAGAAATATTCCATTTTTTGTTTAAACTCGTTCAGAAAAAAGGGGTAAAGCGCGGGTTGTGCTTACTAGGACAGAAATTAGATCATAAACCCTAGTTGAGAAGATTTTTATTTTCCAAAGAGAGGACGAAGTATATTTTCTCTTGGTTCCTCATCGAAATTCACGGACTTCTCCCGGTGATTTAGAATTTCCGGCTTTTTCCCAATTTCCCGGTTCACTGGTCACCCTGTGTCCAGTATTCAATAGGTCTTATCCATCTGAATAACATTACTAGAGATAGCAGTCTCCTAACTAGTCGAAACACAGAAAACGAAACAAACGCAGAGAGTGAGTAGCTTTTGCTCATTCGGAAGGATACATTTCTAAAAGCGTTGGTCACTCAGCGCATGAGTAACCTACGTACAAGTGACTCATTCTCTGAATAAGATTCGTTTGTAGTGAATGTAGACTGCTTAAGCAAGCCTTTTGAATCGTAAGCAAGCCCCGTAACGTGGGTAGATCACCTTTTCGTGGTACGTTACGGGATGTAAGATCTACCACCGATTCCTAGTCCTGACTACTTCAAACTAGGGGAACAGGATTTTTCAGTAATCCAAGGAACACATCTTAGTCCTTGTTACTTTTTAGGCATTTTTGATAGTGACAAGACTCGGCTTTGTCTACCGAGGATGATCTTGAAACAAGGAAAAAAATGAGTTAGTTGTCTTCATCTATGTGATTCCTAATCTTCTAATCGTTGTTCCCTAGTTTGAAGTGGTTAAGACTAGGGTTCTGATGCATGGTCATTATCGGTGTCATACCTTAATTTTGTTGCTAAGGAATCCAATTTTGACTGACAAAGGGGCACGCCTTTGGAGGGTGTTTCAACACTCCGAAGGGTATAAATAGCGGGACCTTTCAATTTGAGTCGGATCCTTGCGATAAATGCAAGAGTGGCAACTGTAAAAAAAAACCAATAATACTTCATCATTTCTCAATAGTGATGGAGTAATACGACATGCACTAAACTAAGGACACGGGATATACTACAATAGATCAATTTACTGGTCGCAGCAGTGTTAGGTCCCGAACAGAGAAAAAAAAACCTACGTAAAAGTGACTCACTCTCTGAATAAGATTCGTTTTCAGTGAATGTAGACTGCTTAAGCAAGCTTTTTGAATCAAATGTTACTGAATTCTGAACTAAGAGGCCAATCATGCGATAGGTATTGTCCATCCGAATAACTTCACTGAATACAGAAACCTGCTTTCTGTCCGTGCTGTTAAGCTAAAACATGGAACTTGATGCAAATTGCACACTGAGCTTGACTATCCAATATCCAATTTCTAGCCGAGATGGCAAGCTAAATACATTGAAAACGAATATTACTCAAAGAATGAGCCTCTTTTACTGATTCGAATGGAGATTTTTTTTTAAATCGTAGGCTACTCATGCATTGAATAACCTACGATTTTTTTTCATACGAATGAGTTAGTTTCGTTTTCAGTGTGCAACGCAACGAACATCCCTGTTTAACACTCGGCAGCCAAACGGTGACTGCAGTCAAACTTTCTACGTTTAGCTTACTTAAGCATTTGAATTATCATTCTATGCCCCTCATTTTTTTCTGTATTTAGCTGATGTAGGTGAATGAATAGAAAATATGCTACGATGTCCACGCTGCAGCGAACAAGCTCGAGGCCGACCCGTCCAACGTGCAACGATGAATGATTAGGTGGCTTCGGCTTGTGTTGCTAGGGACCAACTTTATGATGGCTGTGTTAGCGGTGAGCATCCTGCGGTTGAAGAATGTATAAAAAATTTGAACGTTTCCATATTTCTTAATTTTAGCTATTTAAATATTTACATTTACAATGTGTTACATACTAAACAAATTTTATAGAACTGCCAAATCGATCGACACACAAATCATCAAAATCCATTGATTATTGGCCAAGTTATTAGCATTTAAAGTCTGACTAATTTTCGTTGCATTTCCCTGGATTGGTACCTTTCCCGAAAGATGTAGTCCTACGTCAAAATTCATTGTTCTCAAACGAGGAAAATTGTCCAAGATGACCGATAGTTGAATTGCTAAAATTGAAATTTCGAATTAGTTGAACTGGTAGCCATGTGTAGGCTTGGAAAACTTTCAAGATCACGAAGTAAAAAAGCCAGGATATTGGACTAAGAGTTTTTTCTTCGAAACCTCAGGAAATTTGTGATATGTCAGTTTTGAGAGCACTGGAACTGATGAAAAAAAATGTATAATCTAATAAAAAAAAAAATCCGTGTTTCCGTCAACCTCAATTGGACCGTTGACAATCTATTGGTAACGATTATTGGCAGACTTTACACGCTAATTTTTGATAATTTTTTCTATCACAAATTTGTCACTAAATCAACCTTTGATTCAATGCGTTAATAAAGTGACTTTAGTGACTGACTTTGAAAATAGTGACCTAGCCACTAAAAAGTGACTTGCTACCAGCCCTGCAATTGTATACCTTGGAATTCGACTTTGAAATATCTTGGTGTTTTCCTTCTTTAGGTGTTGTTCTTTTTGATGAATTTTAATCAAAATTCTCATGATATTTTTTTCACAAAATTCTTAAACTCTAGTCCAGACTAATAGTCTTCAAAAGCTTTCAGAATCTTATTTTTTTTTTCGGAGAGTAGAATTATCGTTCTTTAGAAATTTATGTCCGTTTTACGGATTAATTCCAAGTAGAAGAAGTTCCACCGCAGCCGTCAAATAAACAATGCTTCAAAGATTACAGTGTGTCAATGCACACTATGTTTATTAGGGGGCGGCACCATTTTGGCACCACCCACCCCAACCCATCAAATCGGTTTTCCGATAATCTAATAGAATTTGTTTTACGGCAGCCGTAATTTAACTCGTGTGCAAATAATTTGATACATGAATGTAGTAGGGGAAATAACGGTTCGGCATGCCAGACTATTTTCGGCAACCCAAATTGAAACACTATTTTCACTGGATTTTCTTACGAAAACACTTCGCTGAATGCATGCAAACGATTCTTTATGCTTTCAGCTTCAATTTGACTATACTTTTACCACTGAGAAAAAGCAATTTAGCAAGGTTTTCTTGAAATGAAACACACGCACTACAAATTGTAGCTGATTTCGAGTTGCCGATAATAGAACAGCAGATTTACATGCAGTTCAAATGGAACGGTTGCCGAAGAAAAACTGGTTGCCGACAATACTCGCTCTCACTAGAGAAGATTGGAGCTTTGTAAAAGCGTTTCAAAACAGTTTTTGACAATTCTTTCGACTGAAATTGTTAGAGCAGCTGGCAGCAAAAGATTGTAAACAAACCAATACTGCATATGTGTGCGTTCCTTAGAGAAAAGGGCTATAGAAAGAAGGTCGCTGCTTAGATTGCCGAGAATACGTAAATTCCCCTATGTTGAATCTATTTGTCTTCATTGTCCTTGAAGCGTATGATGGAAATGGGTCCCATATGCCGAAGTAGTGGTACACCCTATACAGCTCATTTTCATACTGTGGCACATTGGGAGTGTAGCATTTTGATGTCTTCTAGAATGTTTCTTCATTTTTTGAGTACTTTATTTGAGTGGTGAAATTTTTTGCTTTAGTATCGATTTGCTTTTATTTAGCCGTTTGCTCGGGTTTTGCATGCCTTGCCCTAAATGACTAAACTGGCATATCGTTTACTAGTGATAAAACATTTGATTACATATTTAAATCTGCAGCGATGAACTGTACAACGATTTTTTTTTTATGAACAATGTGAGAAACAAAACATCGAAAAAAGGAGAACAAATTCTTACCTGCAGTTGGGAAATATTTGGTGATGGGTCCTCGCTGTAACGCCGGCAGCGATTGACCGTGGTTCAGCTTCAGATCCTGTACCAAACTATTTTCAAGCTCCCGTGTTTGCTATGGGGGTTTTGATTGTTGTTTGTTGTTTTTGTTGAATTTTGAGGAGGAGTGATTCGAACAAAAGCGTATCGTAGCAACGAGGTTTGGTGGTGATTCGAAAGGTGCACATTCGTAGGATATGTATGAATAACATAAAAGGGGAAAAGTAGACAAATATGGAAACAAGGTCATAAAATAGGCATATCTGTTAAAATAGCTTTTCGATTTTTTTAGTAGAGCTAGATATTTAGAAACCATTTTCAAACGATCTGTAAATATCTAGGATTCTAGGTTCCAAATTTCGGGAAAAGGTTTTCAAAGGTCCAATAACTCTCCAACGTAAAAAGAGGCAGGCGCGGATCTAGGAGAAGTCTCAATCACATTCGTCGGTTATTGTTTAACTGTTATCAGAAGGCGTTAGTATGAGATTACGAATTATATAATGATAGCTGGGTTAGTGCCAATTGTCTCTCAGGTTAGATAATAGTAACTAATCAACCAATATTGTAATCTAGATCCACTCCTGGATTGTTAAGTGTTAAAGCAAATCAAATTACAATTACAGTTTAAGGTAGAAAATGTATACTAGCACGTTACCTGTTAGCCTCGCTTAGTGCAACTAGCGCAAATCTACCCAAAAGACGTCCAAGAGAATTTTTATATGCAAGCAAAAACTACTACTTTCTGTGACATTTTAAAGAGATGCGATGAACCACGTGATACGGTGTGGTTTGCATGACTCGTGTTGAGATGATTTATACTGTTAGGAAGCAATTGGCTTAACGATGGTTTCATGCTGACAATTTATGATTAGATCAAAATTTGGGTTAGTTCCATTTCATTAGAAAATAACATGGGATTTCTATTGCTTGTGGTTAAATGAGGCAGATGGGTTGATATGCAACTTTTGCAAGATGGTGGTATGGTGATACAAAAAATATGAAAGGGTAAGATTATAAACAAAATTATAGCGAAGAAGAGTGCTAACCTGAGCTCGTAAGGTATACGTCAATACTACTGCCTCTTTTTATCGGTGGGAGATGCTTGGAGCGCTTTGCCTCTAACTTTAGACGCAAATTATTCTCTAGCGATTTGATTTGCTACAATTGAGGGATGGTAAGATCAGTAAGTCACATTATTTGGAATTTTGGTAACAACAAATGTGAATCATTTTGTGATATTTCTAACAAACGTTTAACGAATGGTTAAGAACGGCCTATTTAGAACACTAAGTCTTTTCTTTTTTCAAGAACAGTACACTGAGTCTGCTGGAGACACATAGAATATTTACCCATGGTTGCACTTTTTGTTACCTTGTACATTTTAAGGTACTTTGGGAGATTTTAAAGATTTGAGTTTTTTTTTTAAATATTGGTTTTAATCAAATTCTGATTCTGAGACAGGCAGGCGTCTGTGCAGGCCACTTTCAAATGCTGTAACTTATTTTATTTGTCGATGGATTTTACTAATTATTTCATGGATAGGTGCGTCTACTAGAGTTCTGTAATATTAGATTAAAACTGCTCCAAAAAAACTTGAAACATATTTATTGGAAAATGCTTACTAAAATTCTTACGTTGTGACCTCAAATTCAAATTGCCGTATCTTAACGAAATTTCAATGGACTTTTGAAATATCAAATGATTTCCAAGGTTAATTTAGTGGAATTTCTGTTCAAAATATCAGACTTTTTTGGTGGGGCTCTCGAGGGCAGGGGTCATTGTAACAATATACCCATGAAGTGGCATATTTTGATGTTAGAGATGTTTATATCACGAGATCCCAACAATATAGGATGTTGCTACCTTTTGCAAAGATATGCAAGAATACAAGGTTTTCAAAGTTATGGAATTTACGCACTGGATGCCTAAAACAAAAATGATCAAGTTGCGTCATCTTAAATACACATTACATAGCGCTATCTACAGATCCTGCTCATATGAATGGTTCCCGTCTTCAGCAAATTTGTTCAGATAGACAAGACATATATTTAAAAAAACAGAGTTTATTTCAGAATTCACTCTAATTTAACATCTTGACTAGATACAAGGTTCCCGTCCCGAGTTTATTTCAGCATTCAATAACCAGGCGGCGCTAGTATGACATAAATTTTGAATTGTCTGCCCTAATTTAACATGTTGACTAGATACAAGGTTCCCGTCTTCGGCAACACGAGTTTATCATATTGATCACATTTACGGATGTTCCGTAAAAAAAACCGTGGAGCTATGGCCTCTTTATCCAAGTATCAATTTTGGTTTTATAAGGGTTCTGTAGACCATGATTTGGACTTGTAGAATGCTATAAAACCTCTATAAAGCTTGCAATGTTACTTGGATATGGTCAAATAATATTCGGCAGTACCATATTGGTCTAGTTTTATTTTAACGGTCAACTTTAGTGTTTATTTTAACCGTAATTTCATGTCAGATTAGCCATTTTCCATTCCATTCGTGCAGATAATAGGCCTTCACAACGCAAATTAAAGCCTTTTTCATTGGACATCTTGCCAATTTCCATCGCTAATTGTCTTATTTTACGATTTTCCATAGATCTGAACTGATCTGTACCTCAACTATTCACACTCAAGATTTCCGGATGTTCATAACCACTAAAGGCCCAAACGCAATGTGGGCGGAAGCGGAACGGAAACGGAAAGTTTGACAGTTGTCACAATTGACATCAAGATGCCTAACCGAATTCGATTTGGTTGTAACTAGTTTTCAATCCGACAAGTAGCCCGAGCAAAGTTAGAGATCAAATTGAAATCAGAATTTGCTGTTACAGGGTGTCTACTCAATCCAAGGAATCAAATTCCCTGAGTTTTCCAGGTTTTTCTAGGTCGGATGAAAAAAAATTCCAGGTGCATACAAATTATACACATTATTATTTTATCTATTTATCCATCTGGAATCCCTTTTATGTACTTATTGATTTATGTTATTTTCGATTATTCAAACTTGGGCGTTGGTGCTTATAAGTCGGCACAGCAAAAAAGTTATTGAATATTACAGCAGAACAGATGCACATAGGTTGTTTAATATTAATTTGTACAATTTATGTTTAGTAAATGCACCAATAGTGGAGATGCGTTAGTACAATGTACTTCTATAGCGGCTTAGGGAGACTCTATAAGCCATCATAGGAACACATTGCACTAAAGTACCTCCACTATTGGTGCATTTATCCTACACATAATTTGCGAAAAGAAATTATATCCATGGGTGTAATATTGTATTTGGTTTTTGCAATCACATTAGTTATTCATACAGTAGCATGCATTACGTCAATCAATATTACATTTTTTTTTGGTATTTGTGTAGTATTTTTTTAATTCAAGAATATAAATACAAGTAAGAAACCTGTCTATAGTATTTCGATAAAACGATAGATCAAAATTTGATAACAATATGCTTTCAAAAACAAATTATCATTTTGATAATATGTTTGAGTCCAACTCTGTTTGGAAGATCAAGACAGAATAAATCATGGTTTCACATGTCTAAAATCTCTTAAGGTCCGTTTAGACTATCTGATTTCTTAGTCTGATTTTGACCGCCACCATAATGAAAAATCTGCTCGAATTTACTTTCGACACACTTTGTCGAACCCCCCTGTTTGCTGGTGTTCACTCTGCTTGCACATGTCGAAAGAACTGTCAATTTAGATTTCAAAACAAAACTGTATCAGGAATCAAACGGTAAATACTTCGATCATGAATTACCGGAAAATTGCTCTAGTTTCGGCAGACGTATTTGCTTTTATTATTTTAAATAAAATGAGAAATAGAAGGCGAACTTTGTGGAGTAGGAATGGTTGCTCAGGAGGAACACCGGCAGGGATCTGGTTCATCTTGTCCATCAAGATCTGCGATATGAAGATGAAAATGGATTTCAAAACTTCGCCAGGATGTCGATACCAACTTTAGACAAGCTAGTGAGAAAAGTTCTCACTAGATATACATGATTCCTTGAGTTCTGAAAATTTCTGTTAACAACTCAATTCTGCAAGGTCTTCAAACCTTCTGACGTCCCTGAAGTTTTGTTTCTATTCTCCGGTAAAATTTCTTTAAAGATCAACAATCTTTCCTGACAATCTGCAAATGTCTCGGTAGTTCTACAGATTTCATTGAAGTTCTGGGCAGGCATGGAAAATCATTTGCATTCATTTCGTGCATTCATTTACATTCATTTGCCTCTAACTTTTTTCTTCAACAGCATTCCGCAAAATGATGCATTGAGCTTTTGTAGGTTTTGTTATAAGCTACTACTTTTGTTAACAAGTCAAATCCGTATCTCTTATGCATGACGAAGCAGAGCAAACAGAAGCCACTACTGTTTTTCAGTGAATGTATTTTACATTCACTGAAAAACAGTAACAAGTTCTGCCCGCTCTAGTTCGTGATGCATAAGAGATACAGATTTGAATTATGAGCAAAACTTGTAGTTAATAACAAAACCTTCAAAAGCTCTATACATCATTTTGCGGAATGCTGTTGATGAAAAAAGTTAGACGCAAATGAATGTAAATGAATGTATGAAATGAATGCAAATGATTTTCCATGCCTGGTTCTGGGTGTTCTTCAGAAGTTCTGCAAATTTTCCTAAAAATCTACAAAGTTCCTGAATCCCTGAAGATTTAAGATCCTTGAAGATCAACAATGATCTCTGATGTTCACAAATTTTCTAATAAACTACAAACTTCTCGAAAGTTCTGTAATTTTCTCTGAAGATTTTCATGATTCAATGAATATCTGCAAATATCTCTGAACATCTATACAATTTTCTAAAGAATTAAAAGATTATCTAGAAATTTTTTAGCTTTCCGGAAGTTTTAGGAAGTATTCTGAAGTTTTTCTAATTTTTCTGAAGCTGTGCAAATATCTCTAAAGATCAGCGAACTTACCTGAAGTTCTGTAAATGTCTTTCAAAATCCAAGAACCGCAGTAAACTTCTGAAAATTTATTTAAACATCTGCTAATTTTTGAGTAGATTTACGATCTACCCTCTGAACTTTTCTGAAGTTCCTAAAATTTATTTCAAATTCTGTCAAGTTTTCTGAAGTACTGTATTTCTGCTCTAAAGATCTACGAACTGTTCTGAAGTTCAATAAATTTCACAGTAGATCTCCGAACTTTTGTAAAGTTCTTTAAATTTCTTTGTGGATTCTTGATCTAAAGATCGGCGAACTTTCCCGAAGATCTGTGAGTTTTGCTGAAGTTTTGCAAATTTTTCTAGAACGTACGAACTTTCTGACGTTCTACAGACTTCTCTTAAGGTGTACGGACTTCTCTGATGTTCTTTAAATCTATCTATTTCCGACTTCCATGGAGTTCTGCAAAATATTGTACTTTTGTACTTCGCTGCGATTTGTTTTTGGAATTGAGGTGCTTTTCTGGCATTTAACGAATTTTTCTGAAGATCTCACATTTGTGTGAAACTTTCTGTCAAATATCTTTAAAGTTCTGTAAAGTTGTCTTAAGCTCCGTAGCTCTATTCCCAAGATCTACAAAAAAAAAACTTGAGGCTCAATAAATTTCTCAGTAGATCTGCAAACTTCTCTGATGTTTTGTAAATTCCTCTCAGGTTACCCTGAAGATTTGAAAATTTCCTTGAAGATTACCTTCAGGTGTCAAAATTTATCTGAAAATATTTGAGCTTCTTTGAAGTTTTAAATGTCTCTCTCAAGATCTACAAATTTTCCTGAAATCGTGTAAATATTTTTTTTTAAATCGCCGAACTTCCCTGAAGTTTTGCAATTTTTACTGAAGATCCATTAACATTTCTGAGATTCTTGTGATTTTTTCAGAAGTCCTGTATTTTTTTTTCAAAGTTCTGTAGCTTTGTTCTGAAGATCTACGAACTTTTCTGAGGTTGTATAATGTTTCGAGGATCTCCAAACTTCTGTGAAATACTTTATATTTCACTGTAGATTCTTGGACTTGTCTGAAGTTATGCGAATTTCCCTGAAGATTTGCAAAATTTCGCTTATAGTTTTACAAATTGATTTGAAATTATTTTTGCTTGCTTGAAGTTTTAAAATTTTTTTTGAACATTTATCTGAAGATATACTACCTCTCTTGTGATTTTTTTATTATGAA